TCTAGATAATTTTTAAATTTTTATGAAAAATTATCTAGAAAATTTTTAAATTTTTATGAAAAATTAATAAAATTTTGTCATATGTATATATTCATTTTCCATTTTTAAAAATCTAGATAATTTTTAAATTTTTATTAAAAATTTTATTAAAAATTTTTATCCCAGGGCTCGAGATTACAGATAATATTTATCTGGGTTGTTTAGAATGGTAAAGAAGGAGTCTTTATGGGGTAATTCTATAAGAACTTAACCAAACCACCCCAGTTGTTTTCTTACATACTAGCTATACAATCATACAAACAGAATGTTCACCAAAATAGTGCCCTCCAGGAAGTGAAAACCAGATTCATTCCATGACTCATTCCAGATACAACAGCGATTCTAAAGGAGAATGGAATACCAGAAATCTGGCTAAACGGTCAGTTTGCTCAGTAATATCACTTTGGTGATCTCACTGTAACTGTGAGCAATCAAAGTAACCACCCTAAGCCCTCTAAATTGAAGAACATTCTCTATGCATAAATGTTTTAAAATTAAAAAATAATGTTATAAATCTCCTTGGAGTGGCTCACTATGCTCTCATTTCAACAATTCAAGAAAGAACTAGAAATCAGGGGTGCCTGGGTGGCTCAGTCGTTAAGCGTCTGCCTTCGGCTTAGATAATGATTCCAGGGTCCTGGGTTGGAGCCCCGCATCAGGCTCCCTGCTCCGCGGGAAACCTGCCTCTCCCTCTCACACCCCCGCCCCTTGCTTGTATTCCCTCCCTCGCTGTGTCTCTCTCTGTCAAATAAACAAATAAATAAAATATTTAAAAAAATAGAAATCAGATAAGCATGCTCTAGTATGGACCAGTGTCAGTAGAAAAAGTGAATAAATCAAGAATTTTTCTTTTTTTTTGAGACTCCATGTTATTCAGCATGGGGTCTACATCGCCCAATTTAACAAAATAATTGCAAAAAATAAATTGATATTTGAGAGTACAGGGTTTGTTTGTTTTTGGTTTTTTTGTTTTTTTTTAACCTTTTAAAAGGCAGGAAGGAAAGAAGGAGGGAAGGAAAGAAGGAGGGAAGCAGGCAATTGGTTCCTGGAATGTATTTGCTATTTTCAAAAGGACATTAGTTTAAATGAAAATGATTTGGAAGCTGGTTTGCTAAGTCTTCATTTCATTAAGTTACTCAGATTGGGATAAGTGAAAATATAAAGGAATGCTGCCATTTTTTCTCTTAACACAATTGACAGAAACAATAATGAAATAACTTGATCTTACTCTAACGACTTAATTACAAGTCTTAAATGCATAACCCAACTCCAAAGTAGTTAATGGATCTTACTGAAGAAGTTAACGAAAATAAAGTACTCCAATGGTCAAAATGTAATTTTCCAATAATTCCATGTGAAAAGCTAGCATACTTTTAAAAATTGTGTACTCTGACATTAGCATGACACAAGAGTGCATTCACTGTTTGTAGAAAACAATTCATAAGTATTAACACAACATTTATTTTTCTTCTGGCTTCTAGAAAGCCAGACTGGCCAGGATCCGGGCCGCCAAAACCGGAAGCGCCAACGCTTACATGCAGAGCAAACGGAATGGCTTACTCAGTAATCAACTGCAGGTACGGTCAAGCGTTTCACTTGTTTTAATGTTCGATTTATCAGTGTAATATTGATTGACTTCTATTTAACCGTATAACTTTATTGTGGGTAATTAGGAAAATGGCTACTCAAACAACGAAAGAGTCGTCTTTAAATAACCTCGCGCTCTACCGTCTTACTGGCTGTAGCGGGTTATGAAATATTGCCGGATTCAAGACTCCCACTCGTGATTGGGCAGTACTTCTTTACTATCTTATGTAAACAAGGGAAAGGTCAGAAATTCTCAACCCAAATACCTATTTTTGTTTCAAAACTATTTATGTTCTTTAAAATTGGTTTGAGCGGGTTAAGATGTCTTATTTCTTTATGGAGAGGGAACACCATTCAGTGTTATAAAGCTCACACGGTATGAAATACTAGAGAAACAGTAACTTTTACCTCAAAACTGTCCTTTCATATTTAGGATTCCAGTCATCGTGCCATCAAAATAGCTTTTATGTAGGTGAGCATGATCATGGTTTCAGGATTATCTAAGTACTAGATTAAATTTTATTATCCAAAAAATATAGCTCCCAGGCTTTCAAAGGTAGTTGGGAGATGAATGAGGAAAAACTATTTAAATTTTCAATTCAGAGAGGCAAGTCTAAAAGGCCAGGCTGCTAATGTGACAGGAACATAAAGGCTGATTACCAAAATTAAAAGCAACTGCACATTTGTCCCTTTTTAGTTAAAAAAAAAATTAAAATGCCATTTAATCTCAGGAAATAGGCTAGATCTCTCTGTGGAAATGTGTAGCTGAGGTTCTCATTGTTTGCAAATAAAATAGAAAGCACTTCTGTCTTCTGTGTGTTAACAGTCCTCAGAGGATGAGCAGGCCTTTGTTAGCAAATCCGGCTCCAGCTTTGAAACCCAGCACCACCACCTGCTTCACTGTCTGGAAAAAACTACGGTAAGGAAAAGGCGCGACTGTCCGCCCCTGTGCTGAGGAAGTAATCCCGTTTGCTTTTGTGAATACTTAATGCTCCCAAGTATGATTTCACTGTCTACATTACTGGAAAATATACTAAAAATGAAAAAAAAAAAAAAAACCACGGATATTTGAAATTGCTTTGAAATACTAGAGTGACGTTTCAACTTGGAAAGTATTTTAGAGAATTATCTAAAGTGTTTTTATCTTTAGTGGTTATCTTAACTTTAGTCTGAAATGTCAGTTTGATGCGGATGAAAAGTTGTTTCCCAAGAGGTGACTGCAGGTCCTACAAAATATCATTTTTCCCAATTATGAAAATGCTGATTAAACGAAAACCAATGTAATTCAAGTGTTCCTGACATCGAGATAAAAGGAATACCAATAGCAGTAACAAAAAAATAGAGACTAACTGAATATAAGCTTTTCTTTCATTAACAGGTTGTAATGAACAAGATAGGTAATAAAAAACTGTGTTCCCATAGGAAAAATGACACATTTCATCACTGGCAAGCCCCTTGGAGCTGAGGCTTGAGTCTGCATTTCTCTGCTTAGAAGCTCTCAGATCTCCACGTTAGCAAAGGCACCGATTCCCTAGCTGGCTTGTCAAAAGGGGTCACAATCTTTGACTACAAAGCAGAACAAAACTTTCACCATATTGGAATCAGTTCTGCTCACTCACTCCCCAGAGGTACATCCTAGTATTCTCAATTCCAACATATCACTCGTGCATTTTTTCATTTACTTATATAGTCATTCAACAAATTTGTATTGCTTGCCTACTACTTGGTAGACAGTGAGCCAGACCCTAGAGACACCATGAAGTCAGATGTGCTCTCTGCCACCATCAAGCCTCCACGGATGGGCCAAAACACCAATGTTCCTGGAGAAAGGTCATGAGCGCAGAAGGAAAAATAGGGCCCCAGTGCAGAGACACAAAGAAGGTGGAGCCATGAGGAGACAGGGTCAGACAAGGTTTCCTGGAGGAACTTGCAGGATGACTAGGAGCTATTTGACAAAGAAATGAAGGGGCTAAAAGGTGATGTGGGCACCAGAGAAAGGCTGGAACTTGGCCCCAGAGGAACTGAAAGAACTTGAGGATGATCAGAAGACAGGGAGTAGAATGACCCAGGAGGAGACAGAGGAAGTCTAGATAATGGCTGGCCTTTGAAGGCATGTGAAGAATTTTGATCTTTATCTCATAATAAATGGAAAGTTATTTGAGGGCTTTAAACAGGGTAGTTACATGATTATATTTGCATTTGGTTTTTTTGTTTTGTTTTTATTTTTTTAAATTTTTTTGTTGTTTAAATGTTTTACTTATTTATTCATGAGTGTCAGAGAGAGAGGGAGAGGCAGAGGCAGAGGGAAAAGCAGGCTCCCCACCTAGAAGGGAGCCCGATGCGGGACTCGATCCCAGGACCCTGGGATCATGACCTGAGCTGAAGGCAGACGTAACCATCTGAGCCACCCAGGCGCCCTATATTTGCTTTTGTAACTAACGATCCATAACTTACAGGATAAGGTCTATAGCTTAGGATAACTCTTTGAAAGGTAAACGGTAACATCAACAGTCAGGTATATTTATCTCCGTGCTTTTTTATTTTCATTTTTTACTATTTTACCTTCTATTTTTACTATTTTACCTCTTAAATAAAAAATTATTTAACACCAGTTATTACTGTTTAAATTAACCTACCTACAGAAATAACCAGCAGCGGAAAGACTTCTTCACTTCCAGTCACTGATGTGATAAATTAGAATCTCATGTATTATATACTTGTATTATGTGTGTGAAATGTGCATTGTAAAAGAAGAAAACAGATTGTGAATCCTTTGTGAGCTATATTTTTTCCATAAGATTTGATATTGAAATTCATTTCTTAATGAAACTCTGTCTTATCTGGTCATATTATTCTCTGGACTTTAAACAGTGGAATCTTAAATTTCATTTACTTCAAAATGCTTGTCTCAGCAAAGAAATCGCAAAATGAGTAACGAAAACAATACATTTTTGCTGTTGGCCAGTGAATTGTTTCCATTGTTTCACTAATATTTTAGGATGAGAGATGGTTACGTGGAATTTGGCATATGCAAAGCCTTCCATTACAAGATTATTCCCACCTACACAAAGAAAAAAAATAGTAATTGAAGTCGCTTTCCTGCAGTTCATACCAAAATGTTTTCCCTTATCTTTATGAGTGGAATTCTTATATAGGCATTTTAGGAAGTGATGCTTTATTAAATATTCCAAAAGCAAAATTTGCACTGTGGTTTGTCTAAAATGTGGCATGTGAAATGATGCCCGTCACTGTGTGCCTCTTGGCTGGAAGGACTCTGAATGGAGGGAGAGGTGATGCTGTATCATGAAGATAAGGGAGACCTCCGAGTTCAGTGCTAACCCCTCTGGATCAAACACAAAGTGGCACATTTTGCAGTATTTTACCTATTTAACTAATAAGTCACTTGTCTATACACTGGGAATTTCAGAGGAGCCTCTAAAGAAATAGAAGGTATCTTCGGGATCTCATTTTCTAATTAAAAGATGTTTTCAACCCCACATGAAAATATTTGCTAATATATAACAGACAATCTAATTTGGGGCATCCTATTAAAATAGTCTCTTTTCCATAATTCCAACCTGTTTAAAAAAGGAAAGTCCATGTGAATTGACACATTCACCGTGAGCAGCACTGTCTTATATGCATTTTCAAGAGTTTTCTTTTTCCTTTCCAGAAATGATGTTTCAATTAACACGTGGTATTTCGAGATCAAGTTAGTCCATAAAGAGATCCTAAATCAGCCTGCAGATGTCCATCTCGAGGGCTGACTAGGGAGATTTTATTTTCGCACAAACGCCAGCATGAGGTGACTTCAATAGTCCAGGCTTTATGAAAATGGTCTTAGTTGCCCAGTGGGTCGTCTCAGTGTACGGGCATGTTTGAGTTTTTTTAAAAATAAAGCCATGCATCTCCTTTCTTAACGTTAAAATGCGTTTCTCTGCCTCCTTGCGTTCTCACCGCTGCGGAACAGAATCACGAGTTTGTGGATGAGCAGGTCTTTGAGGAAAGCTGCATGGAAGTTGTGACCGGAAACCGGCCTTCAAGCCACAGCCCCTCTCTCTCTTCGCAAGGAGTCACCAGCACTTGCTGTTCACGACGACACAAAAAAACCTTCCGCATCCCAAATGCCAATGTTTCCGGAAGCCACCGGGGCAGTGTGCAAGAACTCAGTACGATCCAGATCAGATGTGTGGAGAGAACCCCGCTGTCTAACAGGTACCCGAGGTGAATGTGTGTGGGCATACACACCTGTGCTCCCTCCCAGGGCGTATCTGCACCTGCACGCACGTTGCTGCTTGGGTGTATTTGGCAATTTTGGGTATGCGGGGAGGGGCGGGGCGGGGGGGAGAGTACTTTTTATTTCTTTATTTATTTTTAACTAATATACCTTAGAAGCACCATGGCATCTAAATCCTAGGTCCTAGGGTTTAGAATGAGACAAGACCAATACCACGTAACTAGTAGGAAAATGGATCCGCTATGACACTCCTGGAGTCAGGCGTAGCTGTTGTATAGCATGGCGTGTAAAAGGAAGCCAAGATGGTCAGGCATGCACAACCGTACTTCTGCCTCTTTCACTCCACAACTTTTTCCTATTTGAGCAGACAGCTTTATAAGGAGCCCCCTTTGTAAATGCAAGGAGCCTGAAGTGATAGATAGTCAACACTACTAGCGGAGACAAATTAAATTGACATTGATCCCATTGAAAACTACTCAGCAGTGCCTAACAGTACATCAACACCTTCAATGTAAGAGTGAAAAAGAAAACCATGCCTACACAAATCTCTTGAATCAATATATAATTTTGATCATAAAGATATTTTGGCCCACAACAAACACAAAAATCAATCCAATACAAAAAAAAGATAAGTGAAATGCTAAAATTGTTCACGTCTGGTTCGTTCATGGACAATTGAAGTGAAATTTTTCTGTTGGCATTTGCCTTGGCTTCTCTTTCTTTGCTATTTGTTTTTACCACAAACATGTATGTGTCATAAAAAGGAATCCATTTAAACTATACAACTCATTAAAACAATCAATTTCTGCCAACATAATTTTGCTTTGTTCTTCAAATTAAATAGCTATGTTTTTATATTAACAATCCATTAATTCAGTGCTGCTCCTTTGTTCTCACTCAACAATCTTTGTGAAAAACCTGGATGACATTCTGAATTCAGGCTATGTTGATTTACATAAATCAGATGTCTCTGGGACCAGAATATTAAATTTTGGAACAATGAAAGATTTCTGTCTCTAAGATATTCTACCTCTGCATTGTTTTAACATCCATTCCAAAATTAAGTAGAAAGCAGAGAATTGTTCAGAAAGAAAATGTTAAGACAAAAACATCTTAAATGGGCGCCTGGGTGGCTCAGTTGGTTAAGCAACTGCCTTTGGCTCAGGTCATGATCCTGGAGTCCCGGGATCGAGCCCCACATCGGGCTCCTCCCTCTGACCCTCTTCCCTCTTGTGCTCTCTATCTCTCATTCTCTCTCTCTCAAATAAATAAAATCTTAAAAAATAAACATCTTAAATAAGATTTCCATGAAAATAAGGTAATTAGATTTAAGCAATTATCATCCTATGGTATACCCTCCTTGTTCCTCTCCCCTTTTCCCTCCATCCCCATGGAGTATAAAACTCATGCAAGAATACCACTTGGGAAAATCTTGAATTATCGATAATGGCTAATTTTTTAGAGGTTCTTAAAATTGGCTTTAAGAGCTTTAAGGGCATCGTCTTTCCCCAAGAGACAAGATAGTAAAATGACTCTGTGGTGACAAGAACTGAAACACATTCACAGATCATTGAGGTGCATCTCTTCCACATGAGCATCTCAAACCTCTCAGAGGTCCTGTCTTAAAGACAACGATTTTGCTTTGCTCGACCCAGGCTTTCCAAAACTGACCCGATTCTCTTTCTTGCATTTTTGTAGAAAACATTTTGAGAAACACCGATTGAACCAAATTGAGCTGGCTTTTAGACACTTAGTTAATGTTAATGACCTGGCTAATGTTCACTTCGACATATATTATTAGGTTTGGTACTTCATTTTTAAAAAAGTCATGGTGACTGGTCTCAGATATTTGACATGTTACTGATAGACATGAAAATGCATCCCTCAGTTGTAGGGAAAACATTGTTTCAGTAAACAACTTACTTTTTAAAATCTGTTTCTTCCTCACCAGCCGATCCAGTTTAAATGCCAAAATGGAAGAATGTGTTAAGCTAAACTGTGAACAACCTTATGTGACTACAGCAATAATAAGCATCCCAACACCTCCAGTGACCACCCCTGAAGGAGACGACAGGCCAGAATCTCCCGAGTACTCAGGAGGCAATATTGTCAGAGTGTCTGCTTTGTAAGACAATTGGAACCAGGTCTAAGAAAATTTGAGCTCTGGCTGTGGAAAGAATTCCAATGTGGAAGAAAGAAGAAATAAATAAACCTTTTGCAGATGAAAACAGCAAAGCAAGAAGGTTGGCAGTGAAATAAAAAACAAAGCTTCCAAACCTGAGGATGGAAATAAAACCACCAAATGGCATTTCTAGACAAAGTTGACCTGTTATACAGAGGAAGAAGTCTGTGACCCTTTGACTTTGTGAATGAGCACAAGGAAATGCCACCTATTGATGCTTCTTATGATCTGAACTCTTTTTTAATAAAATAAATAAAACAAATCTTTGAACATAATGTTCCAGTTGAATGCAAAACAAAAAAATATGGAAAACATTTTGATAAAAATTTTTCCTGTTAAAACCATGAACATTGGCTATGATGAAGATTATTACGTGTTAAAAAAAAAACTCCTACGACACATTTGTATTGACTGAAGGAAACCATCATAATGCATGCTAGAATTCTTTGAAGCAGTGATTTCAGTGTCCTTATGTTGTCTTCAGAATAGGCATGATAAACTATAATCGTAGAAAGGGGGAATTTCTGTGCACTTACAACAAGCTGATTGTTCATGTTCTGTGGTGGGCTGTGCCAATAAACTCCTTTTAGAGCTGCGGTATTTCTCATGGGGATGCTCATTAGTAAATCTAAAGTGTTCAGATAGTTCAGTATTAATTATCGTTTTACCTTGCACCTAGATACTGTTACAACTGCAATAATTCATTGTACACCTGTTGTATCAGGAATCAGGATTTTTTGTTGTCGTACTTTCCAGATCTTCATAGATACAGTAAGAGCCACGTTCATAGAAACACTTCTGGTGTGGCCAGGTTTTAGATAACTTTTTAATCCAAAACTATTGTGCCATAAATGTTTTTCAGTAATATCCTTTGGTCGACTGTGTCCCCGTGACAGTGCATTACCTGTTCTTGTACTTCTATAGCGCCTTTCTATTGGGTTTGTCGTCCTCAACTGGACTAACGTTTTGTAGTTCAAATGACTTTCCTACTTTTGTATTCCCCAACATATTACCTTGTAAGTAGATTACTATCATCAATCCCCTTGTCAAAAATTAGGAAAAAGGAGTTGACATCTATGAATGATCTCTAACCTCTTTGCTATTAGGGAAAAGCCCAGACACTGGATATATCACTATGTGTTTCAGGCAAAGAGTAGGCTGGGATTAATATCACAAAATCAGTGATCCCAGAATATCGTTTGATGTATTATTTATTTTACTTTAGATCTTGAATACATTGAGAATAACTAATGTGAATTGAAATGCAGAGATTAAGAACTAGAGTGCTTTATGTAGCAATGTTTGATGAAAGCACGCTTTCTACGCCATTGGAGAAGGTCGCACAAATTTATCTGAGAAAGTCTCCTGTATACTGCAAGGAGCAATTTTCTCCACTAAACCAGGAGGACAGGAGTTTGATGATGCAAAGTTGATCTCTGTGTACATTTAAGTGAAAAGTCTTTATACCTTTTCACCTTTAAAATATATCAGCAGACTTGTCTGCATGTGACAGTGTAAAAAAGTTTAATGTCAAATGAAAAGTTTTCTTCATTCCAAACCACCACCGTAAGAAATGACGTTTAGCTTCCATACATGGAAAGATTAATAATTATCCCTCTACTGTAGAGATTTTAAAATGCTTATCATAATTTATCATAAAAAGGAATTAATCCAACCATTTTCAAGTAAAGCCAGAAATTCTTGCTTCCCATTTCTAGAATAGCTTCTAGAACAGTGCTGTGCACATGGTAGATCTTAATAAACATTTGCTGAATAAAAGTAAGATACACTCTACTATCTCTCGGGAAGAACTGGCTTTATTCCTAGTATGTCTTTTAAAAAGTTACTAATCTTCCTGGAGCGTGAATATTAACAATTATATTAACACCTGCCTCATGTCACTTTATGCTTCTAGAGCAAATATAGTGAAACATCTTTGATGGCATTTGTTGAAAAAATTTTTTTAAAAAGTAGACTAAGGAAACCACAATCAGGAATACGTAGGTCTTTTGATTCCCAATGAAAAGTTCTATTTTCATGTTCTTAATACTACATTTTAAAAAATGCAGTTAGATTATTTCAGTTGACAATTCTATCTCCTTTTCAACTTATCATTTATCCCAAACTATTAATTCCTTTAGATTTTTGGAAAAGAAAAAAAAAACTTTTTGGTGTTTTAGGTGATTTAAAAATATACTGTGTTGGTGGTGAATGACTATTGATGACTGTATGTTAAGTGCATATGTATTGTAAGTGAAATGTAATTATTTCTGTGTACCATATGGAGTAACCAAGATCATTGTTTTTGACAATTTTGTTTGAAATTCATATATCTTATTTCAAAGGATAGCATAATATCTGCATTATGCTGGAAAAAAAAATAGACCTTTGGAGAATACTTAAATAAAACATGTGCATGCTTGAACAGGACAACATGGTTAGCTGTTGCTCTTTTTTCTTAGACTTCTTTCCTTTCCAAAATCTAAGATGTGTCATACCCATATGTGGGAGAACCTTGTAACATGTACAAACACAGAACCCATTGATTGTAACACTTACGTCTAGTCTAAATAGACAATAATAGACTAATCTAGATAGTAGATTTCTGCCAACAGTGGGAATTTAGGAGAGACATTTTTAAAAAACAGTTAATATCATTTAAAGATATAAGAGTTCCATTGCTTTAGATGATCCTTTTTGGAAATCTCTTGGCAACTACAACTCCATAGCTACTAATTAATTAAGTATATTACAAGGTTTTGTTGGTCAATACCCAAAAGAGGTAGTATGGTTACAATCAGTTGTTTTTGTATATGTGATACTTTTAGATAGAGTGCTCTCTGCAGGGTGTGACCCAGTTTATTAGCCTACACCCTATGAGCTACATGCCTTTTGGACAGTGTGGACCGGAGAGAAGGCTCTTGTGTAAACCTTATATACTTCTTGACTACTGCTACTTGAGTCAAGCAAAGTGAAGCTCTGAGGTAATAACTTTGGTCAGAACTCAATCAGATTCTTAGTCAAAGATTCTTTTCTATTTAGGGAAACAAAGTGATTTATTTGTCTAGCTGTATATATGTGTATATATGTATATTTATATATATTTATTCAGATATATATGCATAGATTTTTATTCATTTTTTTAAGATTTTATTTATTTATTTTTGGTGGAGCGAGAGAGATAGCCAGTACAAGTGGGGCGTAGGGACAGAGGGAGAAGCAGACTCCCCGCTGAGCATGGAGCCTGATGCAGAACTTGATCCCAGGACCCTGGGATCATGACCTGAGCTGAAGGCAGATGCTTGACTGACTGAGCCATGCAGGCGCCAGGTTTTTATTCATTTTTTAAAAACATGCTCATCTGTTGGTTTCTCTTTAGTAGGAAACAAAAAGCACGGAAAAGTTAAGGGATTATTAGAAGAGGGAAAAACACGAAGTAAATAGTGTAGTACAGAGAGTGATTTTAAATAGTGGTAACTAGTGATCCTCTTGGTGGGATAGTCTCCTTTTTTTCCTTGTTAATTCTTTTCTTTTATAGTCCTTGATTTATTGAGATGCCAATCCTGCGTTAAAAAGGTTTAACACAGCTCCCCATTCCTTCAACTGAGTTACAGTGTTGGCTTGGAAATAGGCTCCAGGGAGTTATATCAACGTCTGCCAGCACCATTACTCAAAAGAATAAGAAGGGTTCTTGATATCAAATACATGACTCCTCAGAGTTTCATAAGAAAGGTATCTCCTCTTCCCTGGAGTGTTATTATGTGTTTGTTTTATTAACTCGCAGGTACAAAAATGGTTATTGCTCTGCACTGTGTAAATTTCATCAGAATTTTCAACACAATTGTGTAGGCACACTGTATTTTTTGAAAAAAAAAAAAAATAAGAGCTTAAGTTGGACCTACATCAGCTGGTTGTGTTTAGGGTAGTAAAACATTCTCGAAAGATATTTTACTTTTAAGGAATTATTAGTTTTGAACAGCACATTTGCTCAAGACAATTATAAAATATATTTATTGCAGAAAGTTTTTAGTGGGAATAATATTACATCCACACTTTCTAATTCTTTGTTCTTTACTGTCCACTTTACCTTTTCCCTCCTTTCTCTTCAAACACTAATCATTCCTTTACTAGATTATTCTCTCCCTTTCCCTAATCATTTCCCCCTCTTTTTTATATGGAAATGCACTAGGTACCTACTGTCCATTTTACATATAATTCAAATTCTTGAGTGCATCACATGAGCCAGACATTGTGATGGGTGTTGGAGAAATGGAGATTAAAAATCCAAACCAAATCCTCCTCGAGGAATTACATACTGGAAAATAGCTTGACATACTCTCTGCTTTACACTGCTATTCATAATCCTACACTACAAGTATTTTTCTCTCTGCCATATTAATAGTCATATTTTTCTACTTCAATCTCCTGAAAACGTGTTTTGAACAGAGGCTACATCAAGGTAATATTCTTCAAAGTACTTTCTAAAACCCTGTCATCATATGATTAAAATCCTCTTTCTTTAGGCCATGGTCCTCCCTCCATGGGGGTGCAGGGAAAGGGCACATGAATTCCCTACCTACCTGCTTGGAGAAAGATTAGAAAACAAGACAAGGCAAAATAAAACAGGAAAAGAGGCAGAACTTGACATTTACAATTTGAGCGTGGTAAAAAACTAGACTTCCCCAAGTTTCCCCTCTGTCCTGCCTACCATAGTTTCAGGGGATATAAAGAAAGCTATTAAAGGAATTTTGCAGGAAGAGTACCACATAAACTGCTGTGGATCCTAATGCCCCACTTCAAATTTATTCATCTGATTAATCCCACTGAAATATCTGAGAGAGAGTCTGACAACAGACCAATAAGTCTAGAGAGAAAGATGAGTTTATCATCAGCAGCACTCACATAAAGGTGGGCCCATGTGGTCTGTGTCAGTTCCAAGGGAATGAGGCTGGCTGAAGAAGGGTACTGAAGGATGGGTACCAAAGATGTGGAGAGAAATTTGGAGGAACCCCAGAACAAAGATGGCGGTGTTGACAAGGGCTACAAGTTGGTAGAGAGGCATCCTTGGGCTTTGCTTCTAAGTTCAGCCTTCTTGGCTTTGATCAAGTTAGAGTTTTGTTAGAGCTACAAATTGTAACACCAAAAGGTATTTATCTTAAGCTATGATCAGTTTTTA